ATTTATCATTGTGCCAAACGGACAATAAATAAAGGTCAGAAATACATAGTAATATACAAGTGCAATTAAACTAAAAAACAATACACAGAAAAAGAAAACTAGCCTTTGTAAATCATAATCGTGATCGTAAAATTGAATGTGCATGATTTACACAACCAGCTTTGAATATTATGTAAGCATATTGCTTTTTTATATATTTGAATATTGATATGCTTTGAAATTAAAGACAATCTGAAATCATATTATATACATTTTTAAAATTTCGGAATTATTACCATTTTTAGGTGAACAGTTATTGATTCTTGTAATTAATAGTTCTTTATTCTTGAATAAGAGTGTTCTCGAGCCCCTCAATTGATAGACTGATGAGTGGTCTAGTTAGTCAAAATAATTTAATGAACAAGCAATCTAAAAACCACATCTTCAATCGCTCATCTGATCCAAGCTGAATTGTCTGGCGAAGATCGTTAGTTATCATTTTTTTTTTTGTTTTTTAAATAGTGACGCGTTTTATTAAATAAGTTAAATCAAAAGGATTACATAATTAAATATAAAAACACTTAGAGTATAAGAAAAATAAATTTTCTTATCCCCTATAACTAAGTTTATCCTATTCTAACATTAAATTATTTCTAACTAATCTAAATCAAATTATGTAATACTATCTAGCTAATTTAGGTATTAGGTCCCACCTGTTATTTATATTGTTCCCATCCGTCACTTCCCCTTTCATTTTATCCAACGTTACTAAACTAATTATTTTATTATTATTTTTTTCTAATTTTTCTAAATTTTTTTCTCTTTTTTGTTTTTTATTATTACATTTATTAACGTTCGTTCTTTCTTCTGAAATTTCTTTAATTTTCCTCTTTTTTAATATCATTTTCTCCAATCCTTCTTTCTTTTCCAATTCAGCTATATCTTCACATCTTTTAATCCAAATTCTTCTTTTAATCTCTTCATATATAAAGTTCCATAGTTTCTTAACGACCTCTTTGCTTTCTTTTTTATTAGATAATTTGTTAAAATTTGTATTATATACGCCTCTTACAATTTCCCCGCTCTATTCATTCCTCTCAGAATTACTGAAGGCTGTTCAATAATTCTTATTAATCACAATAGATCGTTAGTTATCATCGATTATATTGCCACGGAGATTTCACGTAAACAGGACCCCGAAATATATAAAAAGGCCAAGAAAATTTTAGGGCCGGAATTATGATAATTTCGGTCGGTATCCAAAAAAGGTAATAGTTTCTGCCAGGAATTGGAAAAGGATTTTCGTATATATATAAATATATATATATTATTTTTTTTTTTATATGTATACTGTATATGTATATATGTATTTTTAAATTGTACACTTACTATTTTTAATCATAAATGTAAAATGTGGACCTGCATTATACACTTGTTTTTTTTTTTTTTTTGCGCGGGGTCCTACATAAACCATAATTCTGGTCATGCGGCCCAGACATATTCCAAACCTAATTTTAAAAACAGAATTTTTATTAATTTTTAGCAGCAAGATTTGCTTTATTTATATACTTAATTGTCAGTCAAAAGTTTTTTATAATATAAGTTAATCATTTCTAATATTACTTATATTTTTATAAAAAAATTTAAGTATTTTATATTATTTTTATAAAAAAAAGAAAGAAAAAATTTTCAAATTCGATGCGATGAATGATCGGTAGATGAGATTGGTTAAATGTCACGTGTTCTGCAAAATTCGTTATATCATGAATTCGTTATACTGAGGGCAGACTGTATATTCATTTCGGTAAGTGGATAATTATTACAAGGCACGAAGTATAATATATTTTTTTTATCATACGTTACACATTTTTGTGATATTGGCGAAACTGCGGTATTATAATTTACGACATTTAAAATACAGTAGATTACTTTTTATATTTCAAATTATTTTAAATTTTTTCATAGGGAAACAAATTAAACTTTACTTGATCAAAAGGACACCAATTTTACAAAATTAACTTAAAAGATTTGTAAGGTCTGATTCGAGATTATACTCCCCTACGTAAACCGGAACATGACCATTTACCCTTTGCCCAGTTAAACATCGAAATATTATAGATATTTCTTTAAGTACTAAACATCGGATAAACGAGTAAACAATGGTAATTAAATTGCCGAAAACTGTGATCCAAGTTTCTCAAAAAAAGAAGAAAACCCCCAAAAAAATGTTTAATTTATCTTATCTAGTTGGCTTTTTTGTGTAGGATGGGTCACTTATAAATTATTTATTTGGCCATTTTATATTTCTCTTTTGAGAAGAATTGGCCCGCCATCTGAAACATATTTTTTTTGGAAATTTTAAGTCGTTTTTGACAGAAAAGGCATATTATCTTTATTTTATTTAGTATTTATCAACTCATGTACTATCTTTTATATATTGTATATATATATAGGAACCATATCTTAAGTAGATACAAAAAAATATGGAGTATTGTAAAATTCAATAGAAACCACTTAAAATCCGCATGGAGAAATATGTGGAATCTGAATAGTTCTAATATTTTCCAAATACCCTGTGACAAAACGCGTGATATTTTCGGCGTAGATTCACAAAATTCGATGTGAATTCGCGTATGTGTGGGATTCCACATATTTCTGAACTAATCCATGTGGAATTACGTGAACTGATCTACTTAAAATTTCATGATATAATTGGCCAACTATTTTTATCGCAGATACAAAAATAATCAAAAAACCCCCTGAAATGTGGGACGATATTGTTTTAATTGTCGGTAGAGGTTTTGTACTTGCGGAAAGTGAAGAATAAAGACAGAAAAAAAATGTTGAATCCACAGCTTTCACTTTTAACAATACCAAAGTAATTATACTTCATCGATAAATAATGAATATATTTTAAAATTAATAATTAATCAAATTAATATTTATTTCAATCCAGATAATGGTTCTAATATTTATCTGAGTAGATTCTACCTTAAAAGAGTTAATAGAAGATAAATAAACCAAAGAGAATCTAAAATCAATCTTACTCCCTATATCGTTAGCGTCAGTATGTATAAATATTCGTTTATATTAAAGAAAGTGATCTTTTTATTGGATTTATAAATTATTATCCTTATTTTTATGGTTTATATCCCTATAAGAAATATGTATACGGAAAGGATACGTTTTGTATACATTTTATGTACGTTTCTATAGATTCCGTATACAAATTCCGTATATTTAATAAGCAATTCATTTTTGAACATTTTTTAAAAAAACTAATGTATACGGAAAAAATTAATCATGCGGAATGTATACGGAATTTTTAAACTTAATATTTTTAGAAAATTTTACAAAAATCCCGTATCATTACACGAGATCACGTGATTGTTTATTGATTTGTTATGATACGTTTTTTGTTTTTTTATATAAACCCTTACTTTGATGAGTTAGATCTTCCGATCTTCCTTTCTGTCTTTCCTTTCCTTTCTCTTATCTCTTGTCTTATTTTTGTTATTTTTTCTAAAATTTTCTTCTTTCTTTATCATCCCCCTTTTAAAAAAAAAATTTTTTTTCGTACCTCACTTTAAAAAAGTTTTTTTTTCGTCACTCTCCCTTAAAAAAAAAATTTTTGATTTTATTCTTTTATTCCCACTCTTCTTTTTTTAAAAAAAATTTTCTTATTTCTATTTCTATTTCCTCTTTATAAAAAATTTTTTATTATTCTAACTTTGACGTCCTCCCTTTAAAAAAAAATTTTTTTTAACTTTCCTAACTTCGTTACCCCTCTTTTTAAAAAAATATTTTTTTGATTCTTTATTCCACTTTCTTTTTTTATTTATATTTATCCCTTTTTTTATTTCATAGGCCAGCAGATTTTTTTTTGTGAGAAGATTCAGTTTTCTTTCTTCTTTTTTGTAGATCAGTTTGGGAGTCTTTTCCTTTTTGTAGGATGGTTCAGGATTTTTTCTTTTTTTAGGTCAGTTCAAATTTTCTTTTTTTTTTTTGTAAGTTGGGTTCAGATTCTTTTCTTTTATAGGTTATTACAGTTTTGTTGCTTCGGAGTCTTCTTTTTTTATAGGTCAGTTTTGGATTTATTTTGTTGTTTTGGTTTCTTTTCATCAGACACTTCATAATTCTTTTCTTTTATGTAGGTCAGACATTCTGGAGTTCTCTTTCTTTTTTTGTAGGAATGCTAACCTTTGGTGACTTGGATGATTGCAGATACTATATGAGGGGGGGGTTTTGTTTCCAATTTAGTTAGACGTTCTTATTGTTTCTTTTTTTTGTTTTTTTGTTTTTTTAGGTTATTTGATTCCAAATGAACCTGAACTTATAGATAATTTTGGTTGCAATAGGTGGTTTTAATAGGGAGGGAATTTTCATAATATATTTGTATTTTGTTTATTTTTTATTTTTTATTTAATTTAATAAAGTAAAATTAGATTTATGAAAATACAATTATAGTAAACTGTAATACAAATAGTAAATTCAGTGACCAAATCGTATAAATTTCGTGATAAAAACAGTGATCAAATCATGTAAATTCCATATGAATCCCGTGCAAATTCCATATCCAAACCATATTTTTAGTGATACGGAATTGTGCATTTTTCCGTATCCTATTATGATACGTTATTTCTAAGGAAAAAAATCGTATGAAAACTTTATAAAAAACGTATCCAATTTTTTTATAGGGTATATCAATGTGATATTCTAATTACTAATAAACTGTTAAGCAAACTTTACAACAAATGCGAGAAAAAGGACGATACTTTCTTCAATTGGATAAAAAACCTTGCCTACCGATAAAAAAAAAAAGCTTTAACCATACGAGTAGAAAAAAACGCAAAATATTTAACTTAAACCTAGATTTACCCAGCGATGATGCTTTACGCTCACGATCACCTGAGGTAAATTTGAAGGGCGGGTAACGCTTTAAAAAAAAAACTGGTTTCTATTTCACACATTTTACCAAGAATTATAATTATTTTTTTATAGATAGGCGACTTAAATGAAGACCATCAAAAAAAATAGATTTATTAAATAAACAACTTTATGCATATATCAATTTACACACAATGAATAAAATAAAATGTATATATTTAAAGTATGAGAATTAAAAAAGATATAAATTATAAATAAATAAATAAATTATTCTTAACCTTCAACTTTAGAAACAATTAATCCAAGATATGGACTAGGCTTACTAACACCTATAGTTCTCTTATTAAATTTAAAACCTTCAATTGGTTGAAAAACAAAATTCCTAATTAACATACTTAATAATATCTTAAATTCAGTTAAAGCTAATTTATTTCCTATACAAGATCTTGTACCGGCGAGGAAAGGTATATAATTTAGATTTGTCACATTTTTAGTTAATGAAGGATCTAACCACCTTTTTGGATCAAAATCATTGGCTGTTGGACCCCAGATTTCAGGTGATTTATGAAGTGCTGAAATGGCCATCATTATTGTAGTATTCTATTTTTAATAATAACAATAAATAATTAATTATTTTGAAATAACAAAATTTTAGCAATATATATATATAAAATAACAAACATACCTTTGGAATTAAATATTCTCCCAAAACTACATCTTTAACATTAGCCCGACCAACTATTGACGCTAAAATAAAAAATTACCAAGTTAATAACCTGAAGATGATTTTATAAATATTTTAAATTAATAAATTAATATAATTAATATAAAAAATAAATTATACCAGGAGAATTTATTCTTAAAATTTCTTTAACTGTGCAATTCAAATACTCCAAAGAATTAATTTCATCATATGTAGGGTTGAAATTTGATTTATCAGGAAAAGCTTTAACTAATTCTTCACGTAATAAGTCTTGCTCATGTGGATGCTGTGCAAGTAAATACAAAGCCCACAAAGTCGAAGCACTAGTGGTTTCATGGCCTGCTATTAGAAATGTCATAATCTGAAGTAATAATGTATGAATATTTTTAAAAAAATGATCGACATAACCGGTAAGGAATTAATGTTAATGCTGGTAATGGTTTGACTTGGAATTATGTAATTCTGCCCGCCGGTTAATTTTTTCTCCTGGTTTTAATTACCTGATATTGTAATTCTTCATCAGTCATTTTCTCTTCAACGGGCAATGTTTTATTAATATTAATTAACAAAGATAGAAGATCGTTGCTTTTCAATTCTCCATTTTTCGCTTCATTATATTTTTCTTCCATCAATTTCTTTGATACTCGCCTAATAATTGCACACGCATTTTTAAAATTCTTGTTCATAGATATCGGAATATCTCTAAAAAATGGGATATAATTCGATAAAATGCTGATGACAAAGCGTAAGGCAGGGTTTGGTCCATTAAAAAGAAAATTATAGGCTTCCGCTAATTCGTTTGAAGTTGTTAACGAATTAAATTCATAATTAAATCCTAAATAAATAAATTGAAATTATTAAACGTCTAGAAATAGTGCCATTAATATCTGGAACGTCTGCGAAAATATATACAGAATAGAATGTGTTGCAATATTTTGATGTAAAAATCATATGTAGTATAAATTATTAATGTCAAAGTTGTTGTAACTGCAGCAACTATACTTGGAAAATATTTAATTTTTGATAAAATTTATCTTTTTCTCACCAACTAAGCCAATGACATCTAAAGTAGCTTTTGAGATATAAGGCGTAAGATTGATGTTAGATTCTCCTTGATTTAATTTATCTTCTAATAACTCTTTTAAAGTAAAAGCCACTCGAATAAATGTTGGAACCATTTCCTAGATTGAAATTAATATGTTTTATTAATTTAATTTAATTATTTATTTTATCTCCTAGTACTAATAATGAAGTATAATTACTTTGATGTTATTATGAGTGAAAGCTGGATTCATCATTTTTCTCTGTCTTTTATGTTCTTCACCTTCCGCAAGTACAAGACCTCTCCCGGCAATTAAAATAGCATCAGCCAAAAAATTAGGAGGTTTAATATAATCATAAACATGATTTAATGTCATATCTTGGATTATTTTTGTATCTGCGACAAAAATAGCTGGCCGATTAAATACTCCATTGAATTTTACAATATTCCCATATTTTTGTACCCACTCAACATGTATGTCCTACATATATATATTCAAAAGATAGTACATGAGTCCATAAAATACTAATTAAAATACTAATAAATAACATTACCTCTTCTGTCAAAAGTGATTTAAAATTCCCAAGTAATATACTATCAGGTGGCGGGCCAGGAACTTTTCCCAAAGGAGAAACATAAAATGGCCAAATAAATAATTTATAAATGACCCATCCTATAACTCCTAACACAAAAAATCCAACTAATGAAGATAAATTAAGCATTTTTTTTTTTTTTACTTTTTTTTTGGAAGGAAATTTGGTCTTTGGTCATAAATTTTATAGATGTTGTCTCGGTTTCGGTAATTGATTTACCCGTTGTTTACCCGTTGTTTAGTTCTTTAAGGAAAAATCTAAAATTTTCGCAATGGTTTTTATTGGGCAAAAAAGAGAAATGATCGTCATTTGTTTACTGTAACTGGATATTAACAGTTAAGCATTAATTTCAGACGCATTTGATTTAAAGAATGAAAAATAAAAATAAAAAATTTTATTAAAAGAATAAGCTTAGTACCTGTAAAAATAGATGTCCCCTTTGATCAAATAAAGTAAATAAATTAATTCGTTTATCCCTCAAATTTCATAAATCGGGCTCTATAAATAATGTTGATCTATGTTTATATATTCCATGTTTTTTTATTTTGCCGATCATTATCCGCATTTTCACGGAGTGTTTCGGAAGTACTTGATTAACACATAATGACTTAATTTTTATTCATTTTGACTAATTAATATTGAACGGAAATTACGATTTTTTAAATGCATCAGTTGTTCATTTTTTTTTTGGATAACAACGCCTAATTTCATATTAGATATGATTTCTTTTTTATATAATATATAAAACTTTAGAATCAAATGTGAGATCGAATCATAAATAATCATAATAACCCCTTATTTAAGAAAACAAACGTTAGGCATGAAATTTTAGATATAATATATTTTACAATAATCTGGGCGTCCGCGGCATTACAAATACTTAAAAAAAATTTCAATTTAAATTGCGAGTTGGGTGGATTGAACACCCGGCCTTCAGATTACGAATCTAACTTCAGTCTGACGCTCTCCCAACTGAGCTAAACTCGCGAATATCGAAGGAAGATGAATTTTTCTAAATCATGATATTAATTACGGATTACTTACAAAAAAAAAAATTTACGAAATTTGAAATTCACGATTTCTCTTCCTCATATCTTACAAATATAATTTCTCAAAAAATTAATTTTTCTTGAATAAATTGTAACCGAAACATTAATCCTATAATGAAATGTAATTTTTAATTTTAATAATATAATTTTAAATTACTTTATCGATAATGATGATTTAGATGAAGACAAATTTATCGAATCGATGACGTAAATGAATATTCTTTTACATCGTATTTAATAAAGGTAGTTCATGGTTTCTTTTTGATAATGCCAGGCGGCATTATGTAATTCCAGCCCCGAAGAGATGCGTAGTAAAATTATTGCCGATCTCTAGTTACCCGTGTCCGCTCAAGAAATCTGAAGACGCATTTTTATACAAATAAATTGCAAAGATTTACTTATCGTTTCGACAAGCTTAATTTATTTATTGGCGTAAGTCAATTTGCATATTTATTTTCTCAAAATTTAAATCGTCAAAATGTATGGATTTGCTTTTTAATATAAACACTTTAGAAAATCTAAATTTAATACACTTGGATAATATTACATCTAAAATCTAACATAAATTGTCAATTTGAATTTAAAAAAAATTAACAATATTTAATAGTATACAAACAAAAGACAATAATAGATTAAAACTAATATGTATTCCAATATTAATATCTGGAGGAGTATAACTTTGTTTAACGTCGTACCTAAAATTAATAAAATTTCATTAAAATAAAAATTAATAAAGTAATTTATTATTAGATAATATACTAATGAAATTTACCCTAAAACTCCCAAGAATCGTCTCAAATTAGGACCTATCGGACCAGTTGTATTAGTACTACCAGTTTTTTCCATCTTATCATCAAGAGTTTCTCCGCTAGTATAACTATATACCATCAAAAAATCACTAGTATTATTATAAGTTTGCATGTCTACATGACCAATACTTGAACCATTGTTAAAAAGGATACTAGTCTCTAATAAGAGGATATCATTTTGATTGGGAGATAATTGATTACTGGATTGTATATTAGATGTAAGTAGAAGACCCATTGTACCACGCGTATTATTAGCAATATTATACACATATTGAGCTATTGAAAATTGCGGCGATTTCGAAAACGAATTAATAAAATCTTGATCAGAATATGTTGTTAAGTTATACTGAAATTGATTTAATTCATCGGTCATAGATGAAAGAGATTTTCCGTTTTGCGTTAGTACTATAAATTTATCAAATATGTTTTCAACGAATAGAGGTTGTGAAGGTGAATCTCCAAAACCAGGTCTTAATGCTGTTTTTAAAGGATAATCATCCCATGAATTTGTAAATCCTAATCCATGAATAAATTCATGAATTACAACGTACAACAAATCCACATATCCTACTGGCATAGGCAGTGGATCTCCTCTAAACCAATAATCCTTTTGTGAATTAATAATTAACTTAATATCATCACCTGGTTCATATTTTGAACGAATTTGTTTATACAGTGCTAATGGGAATGATCTCACTTTACCATCAGTATCATTAAATTTAATTATTAATGGGGATGCGGATGCTATTATATTATGATTATTATTAACATCACAATTTCGTTCTTTACATAAATCTAAAAATCCTGCATCAATTTTTATTGAAAGTTTGAAATTCAATGTGGCTGTTATATATTTTCCCGCTAAATTGATTACGTTTTTTACTTTATCACATTTTGTTTTATCGCTTGTACATTGAAATTTAGTTATGATAAACCAGTTTGTTGGTGATGGATTTTGTGATAACGTCGTTCGTGTTAAACATAATAATGATAGAATGATGAAAAAAATTATTGTTAAAATCTTCATTTTTCTTAAAAAAAATTAATTTTCAAAAAAAAAAAAATATTTTTTTCTTTATAATACGACCTTTTGAATGATTTTTCTTTTTTATATAAAAAAAGATGATCCGTACGCATCATGCATGATGCAAAATCTAGGCTGACATACATAAAATATGATGATATAATTAATATATTGACAAATTATGAATTCAATATCGAGTTAGAATTATAATTTTGGCCAATGTTAACAAAAGTTTATTATCAGTTCCAAGAACACTTCAAAAAAATTTCATAGAAAAAAATATATAAGATATTATTTTCCTTCGTTATATATGTTGATATGCCTAATGCTTGAAAAAAAGCAAATGTTCTTAACCAATTTGGATGTTGCGCCAAAAACATATTACCGTAAGTGTGATACAAGGACTACATTTGAAATTTCCTTTTGTAATTATTTAAATAAAAAACTTATGAAATCTAATTTCATTCTGCACTACAAAAAAAGAACTATAGTAGACAATAATTTATTTATTTCAGAAAATATAAATGAAACGTTCCGAAATTTGATTCTTTCTCGTTTTTTTCACATGGAATTTCAATACATGATGTTGGCACATATAAAATACATGTAGTGCTGCGCCAGTTTTGGAAGTTTCTCAAAGAATATTTAAAAAGTTCAATAGAAAAAAAAAAAAAATCGACTAATTTCACGTATATGTAAAATGACTCAATGTAATTATAATAATAAATTTATGGAAAAAAAAATCAAACGATTATTTTCTATCTGGAAAAAAAACTGCGTCTGCAATTGTGACGTCTAGTGTTTTGATCCGGATAAAATCTTAAATATTTTAAATGAGATTATTGCCGAAAAAAGATTTTAAATCTCAGCTCTGAATAGACTATAATTTCGACCAGAATATTTAATATATTATGAATCAAAAAATTGGTAATTCTGATAGTTCCATCCTGAATTAACCGAAACGGATACCGGATAAAAACCGGATAAAACCGCTTCGGATCCAAACACTAGTGACGTCACTAGCCTTAAAGGGATGAAGTAATTAGTAATTAACGCCGTAATAATTGTTTTGGCTTTTTTTTTGTAAATTTTATTTAAAATAAATTTTATTAAACATAAAAATCGAATATTTCACAGAAAAGAATCGTATAATTTAAATCCCGTGACCAAAATTCAAAATTATCAATATTAACCTTTTTTTCATCGTTATTAATAATAATCAAAGAGAATGATTTTCGTCAAATTTATAAATAATGATTAAAATTCTTCAGGAGGTATTCTTGACATATATGATATTAAGATACCATTATGTGAATATTTTATAAAAGCCTCTAATTTCTCATTTTCGTTCAAAAAATTCCCTCCGCATAAAATTCTAACGCTTTCTAAATTCTGACAATTATTAAAGATTAATTTCAATTTATTATTTTTAATTCTAGTGAAAAGTTTTCATAAAAATTTGCTATTGCATAAATTTAATAATATTCCATTATCACCTACTTTAATATAAGATTCTTTTAAATTGTTTCCATTAAAAATTTTATCAAATTAAATATTTTTAATACTTTGTAATTTTGGGAAAGAAATATCTCAACTCAATAAAATAGTCATGATCATCATTAATAATAAATTTAAAGTTCTTATAAATTTTATAAATTTAGAGATAGGTATAAGATCACGCACTGGGATGCCGAATCTAGAGATCTGCTCTTTTTCCACAAATTTAGGAATTTACAATGAATTCGCCAATTTTCAGCAAGGGACCTGCTGTTTTCAGTAGGTACCCACAGGTCCCATTAATATGGTGATTATTACACAAGCATATCAGCAAAAATATTTCCCTTTCAACAACATTTGAAATAGAAAATATAAATTTAGTAAATTTAGTAAATTTAAATAAATTACCAAATTCTTGGGAAATATCGATTGTAGGATAAAATTCAATTTATTACTTACAAAAAGTATTCTATTATGAATTTTAAGCAACAAGGAAAATTTTATTTTAAACTCCTTTTTTTTTTAAAAAAAAAAAAAATACAATGTAATTATTGCTTCTACGTAAAAAAAAAGAAAATTTTGTGGACATTTAATAAATAAGAATTTAAAGTTGCAACATTTTTCGAAGTTTTAATTTTTAAAATATATCATCTACCCAAAAACTTAATTATGCTTCCCATGGAAGGATTGATCCTGTTAAAATCTATGCTTAAAGAAAAAATCAGCAAATTCGCCTCGCCCAAGTTCCACACATTTCTTTAAAAAAAAAAAATTTTTTGAAAAGTTTTGATACTTCTCTTTGAAACTTATTGATCCAAGTAGTCATCGATACCTAAAAAAGTAACCAATCCTTCCATGTTCCATACAAAATATCTCCTCAAGTATAATTTAATTTTTTTAAATAGGGTAAATTGATTTATACCCGAAGTATTTGAGTCAGTGCTATACGGTAGTTCTTTATGGATTTCATTTTCAATTTCGGTCACGTTATCCTAAAATAAAGTAAATGCAATCTTAAAAGATGGTTTATTTAAGTGTGCGAAAAGTAAAGGCGAAATTTGATAATTGCTACCATGCAATACTAAAGACTCCTTGCAATTTTATTTGAAAAATATTTTGCCGCTATAGCATTTGCACTCTACCAGTTCGGGTACAAGTCCTTGTATATCGTTCGCTTTCTTAATACGATTCAATAGCTTCTCTTTGATTTCAATTTTAATGCTCTTATTTGTTGAAAATATTTATCTGTAGGGCTCCGGAGACTTGAAAAAAAAAGAAGAAATGTCAGCACGTTCCTCTAACGTAATTAAACATATTTCCCCCAATATATCTTCTAGGCTCGTCCAGAGTCTAGAGACTTACAAAAAAAGAAAGAAATCGAGCGTTACTAAAAAAAAAAATAAATAAAAGAAAAATTTTATTTATAATGAAATAAAATATACCGGTTTACAAAAAATAAAATAATTTTTTTTTTTTAAAAAAAAAAACTTAAAAGATTATCAATTGGAACGACCATATAAAAAATGCCAATTGTTTTTTAATATATTTATAAATTAAGACGGTTAATCTCAATAATTTTTCATAAAAAAAAAAATATTATTATATTTTTTCATTTGGAAGACAAGTTAACAATCGCTCCACACCAAATGCGGTTAACTTATAAGCATGAACTCAAAATGCAATTAAGTTTGTGTTTGTGTGTTACAAAAGTCATGTGTGGGTTACCTATTATGGATTAGTTACATTTAAGGTATTTGTATAAATAAATCGTATCGATAAATAAGATTTTTAAATTATGAATATAGGCTATTTGACAAGTGCAAATAGAATATATATTACATTCTTTTTTAGTTTATTTACTCCAAAATTTTGGATTTTATTCAACGTGAAGTTGATTTCATGATAATATTATTCGATATAATGGAATAACAAAATTTGAGTCGGGTAATATTAATGTAAAATTTAATGATTATTTCTTTTATTCACTAAAAAATTATTAATTAAAATGTCAAAAGAAATTAATAACTGGGCAACAAAATTATTTGTATTTGAAAGGAAACTTTAGATAATTCTTAGATAATTGGCTCGGCGACCCGTGATCTCATCGGGTGTCGATCCACGAATAGTTTTACTGCGGAATCAGCAATTTTATAATGCGAAAACACCTTAATATTAATTGATGAATAGGTTAATAATTAATCGATAAAATTACTAGAATTATAAATCGAATTATTAGTATTAACTTTCATGACTATATTTAGTGCTTTAAAAACGCAATTACCAAGCTGAATTCCCCTCGCGCCAAGATTTCGTGTGAGCGAATCTTACCTCTAAACGGAATTATTACTTACCAACTTCTAAAACCTGTATAAAAAGTACCAAGTACCGTAAACTCATATACAACAGTAAATATGGTATATATATAACAATATTTTTATTATAAATAATTTAAATAATACAAATAATAAAAAATAAAACCTTTAATTGTAATCATCATCTTCATAATATGCGACTTTAAATTTATTAACAATACCTAATTTAATATATCTTTTAATAATTTCCATATTCTTCTCATCTGTATCCAAGCTAAAACTAAATGATTCATCTTTAATAATAATCAAAGAGATTGATTTTGGTTTACGATGTATCCAATTTGTAAAAAAGGATTCTAATTCATCCGGTAACAATTCTGATTGGGTATAATATTGATGATATAATATAATTTCACAAAGATTTTCATGTGAGTATTTCACAACTGATTCCAATGCCTCCTTTTCACTCAAATATTCACCTCCACACCATATTTTAATACTTTCCAAGTAAATGCAACTTTTTAATATCATTTGTAGCGTCTCAATTTCATCATTTTTAAATCCAGTGGAAAGTTTTCTAAGTTTTGGACAAAATTTTGCTATGACTAAATTTAAAGAATTATCACTATAATTACCTTCACCATCACCTATATAAAATTCTCTTAAATTATTACCGTTATTTTTTAAGAAAGTTATTAATAATTCATAACTTACGAATATAAATGGAATTTTTAAAATTTGTAAATTTGGAAAAGTAACATATTGTAATCTTTCAAAATCTTCAAAATCATAATAATCGAATGATAATTCAAGTTCTTGTAAATTTTTAAATTTAGCGACAAATAATAATGATACGTCATAATTTCCACTCAGATTAAGTTTAATTAAAGTATCATAGTGTTTACTTGTTAATAAAGGAATTATATCATTCACTTTATTATCACCACGATATTGCGCTTGTTGTTTTAAACCCAAACATTTTAAATTCTTTTGAACTGAGATTAAATTTGATAATCCGTCAGAATTAACTTTCTCAAATGTTATATTTAGTGATTGTATATTATGACAAATTTGTGATAATTGATAAAAAAATTCGGACGAAATATCTGAACTACAATTTAATTTTGAAAGATTTTTTAAACAATCGTTTGCTCCAGGATATGTAGTAAGAATTACTTTTGAAGTATTCTTATA